CTCAAAAGTTAAAACAGATTTATTAGACGTTTTTATGTCTGTCTACGGCTATGTTCAGCAATAGACCTCCCCCTTAGGGGGTTTAGCCTGTAGTTGTCACGCTTGGCAGGCGGGTTGGCAACCGCTTTCCGTTGGCAAAAGCCTATCATAAATATATATCATAATATCTGTTTATAAGCTTATTATTTTATTAAGATTTTTTTTATTTATTATTATACGTACACATTGAGTTATTGAGAAAATTTAACAATTAGTATTCATCCTTTTTTTAGTTTAGTAACTATAAAACAAAATATTTCCATATATATTTTCTTTTAAATAATTTAATTTACATTAAGTTTCACAATTAATATTCTCAACAAAAATTTTATTTTTTTAAGATAAGTCAAAGTTTCAACTTTATTTGTAGCCCTTACTTGTAAAATCTTTAGTTTCCAACTAATCATAATTAAAGTGACCGCCTGAAGGGAGGGATGCAACTTATCGTTGTATGTGTTTGTTTAAATTCGATGTTCAATCGCAATGAAATTTACTGATAACTGTCGAAACCTTATAAATATTATTAACATACATTTTCTTATTCTTTGGATTTTGGAGAGAGTGTCATGTTATTGTTGGCAATGTATGAATGAATGGTCAAATGGATGAATAGATGAATGAATGAATATGTATGAATGAATATTTATTTGCAAGAAACATGGTAAGGTATACAAGTGGTAAAATAATAATAAGTTCACATATTTCGCCAAAATTAAGCATGCAAAATTTAAAATACTTAAATATTGAATGAATAATCCTTATAAAAAAATATGTCGAATATAATTTCATGTCAATTAATATACTTTATTTTATTTGATCTTGATACGTACTGGTAGGTCTGGTTAGTGTCAACAGTATTATCATAATATTAATACTCATTTCATTTTAATTTCATAAATTCATTGATTGAATAAAAACAATGGTCAATAAGCCATTTTTGTAATTAGGATTTTAAAGAGTAATATTTAAAAAAAAAACCCTTCAAAAATTATAGTAATGCAACGTAAAGCATAAAAAAATTACATATAATATTTAACAAATATAAAACTTTATATGTCACTAAATATAAAACTATATATTTATTTTATTTATTTATTTACACTTTATTGCACCAAGTAATAGGAGAAATAACAAATACAGTAAATATTAATATATTTATAAATCTTTCTGTATTACGTGTAGATACCCGTGCGAAACTGAAACCAATCACTACTCATTGAACAAATTTTATTAAGTAATTTTTAAAAGAAAGAGGTACCGAATTCGCCTGTAATGTATACATGATATGCCATATAACAAATTTAAAGCCGATTTTGTTGATTATTTTTGCAAATCGGTAAGTTTTATTTCCGCATTGTATCCACATTAATTTATCACGATTAATAATCGCTATTTTTTTGCAGAAAAACCTGCTTTTAATTTAAGTAGATATTATTCTTATGTCATACACTAATAATAATAGACGAGTTATATGGAACATTTAAATAGATACACGCAAAACCTGTTATTTTATATTCATAAGTTCATTTGCCAGTTATATATATATTTTTTCATAACCCACTTCCTACATTTTTTTCATCATATAAAATAATTAACATAATAAACGGCTTTTAGACTTTTTTATTTATAACCTGATACAGACAGGTTTTTTCTTTTTTATTTGCACTTTGTGTATTACAAGGACATGCCTGTCCCACTACGGTGAACTTCGCTATTAATGTTATATAATATATATAGTAATGTACCGTTAGAACTATTAGTACCTACTTGTGTCTATTTATGTTACGATAGTTGTATTTTTTATTGCCGATTTTGGACTTATTTTTTATAATCCTTTTCGCATTTAAATTTATTCACTCTCTTATTAATCCCATACTAATTTGTTGGATTGAAGACGGTTTTTTCCGAATCAAATTTATAGTAATATTATAAAGAGGAAAGATTTGAAAATTTGTTTGTTTGTTTCTCATACCACAAAGGTGGCAAACATACAGCCCGTCTGAAAGAAAATAGTCATATAGCCACTGGACGCCTGTAACATTAAGTGTCACATTTTTTTTATACAACTTAGAATGGCAAACAAGCTGACGGCCCACCTAATGGAAAGTGGTAACCGTCGCCTATAGACATGAACAGTACCATGGACATAACATAGTATGTTATTTCGCCCATGATACCCCCCCATGCATTGCCATTCCTGAAGACTCAGGTGTTATTCCTCTGTACCCTGTAATTTCATGCCATATCCCACCCTTCAAATCGAAACATAGCCAGGCAAACACAACTGCTTCACGGTTGAAACACGAATGGGACAGAGGTACCAAAGCAAACGACTTTTGTACAGTCTCCCTCTGGTAAGCGTTGCTGACCTTGAAGAAAATTTAATATACCCTTTTTGTAGAACCCCATACTGTAGTCTCTAGGGAAAGCCGTTCTCTATTTCATCATTCATCATTTCAGCTGTTGGACATAAACCTTCCCCATCCAGTTATGTCAATAGTTGCCACGCTTGGCAGGCGAGTTGGTAATCGCAGTTAGGATTTAAGGATGTTTTAAGAAAGACGCTTACCCATTCCCCAATCATTAAGTTCTTTTAGTCACCTCTTACGACACCCATAGGAAAGGGAAGTGTGGCCTATTCTATGCCGGGACCACATAGACTCTAGTTAGTAATTGATAAACTAAAGAAATCTCGACAGATTCTAAAAACTACATTATCAGCGAATATACGAGTAGGTTATTTTAAAAAAATAGTCAGAATCCCCACAAATAACACAAAGTAAAAAAAATTTGCCTATTAAAGCTTATAAAATACTAATTTATCTTTCCATCTATCTACCCGTACCAAGCCGGGCGGATCACTAGTCTTATAATAAATTTAATTAATTCAGATGGCCTCCGCTTGTCCTTCATTCATTTCTAATGTGAGGATATCGACCTTTAATTTATTTTATATAAACTTCTGTTTAGTTTTTTTTTTTTTTATTTTAAATTGTCACAGTATAGTACATTGTACGCTGATATTAATGCTCCTTTGCACTGGGTTTGCTCCAAGAGAATTCTTGTAAAGTTCATCTTTGTAAATTTACTTTTCACTACCATGTTTCTGTATACAAAAATATGGTACAGAAAAGTAACATTTACTAATAATACTAATAATAGTATTAGTGTGTACAATAAACTATAAAAAAAAATCATTAAAACATGAATTTGAAAATTCAGAAGTTCAGGCTGGGATTCCAATGTTGGGATCGTAATCAAGCGTTGTCCGACTGCGCTCTCATCACTGCACCATGTGTACTATATCTTACTATGAAGGGTCTTAATAAAAGCAATATAAACCATTTTTTTTTATCTGGTCTGTCTGTTAGAATGTTTGTTTCGACATCACACAAAAACTACAGCACCAAACTGTATGTGATTTTCACTGTTGTATTCCTGTAAGTCTAATTTAATCGGTCTATGTTTTATCTTAATCTACATATGGACTATTTTATTGGTTTTCCTAATTCACTTTCCAAATCTACGCGAACAAAGTAACGGACAAAAGTTAGTATAGTATATTATCTGTGGTATTAGTAATATTACATAATCAATGACCTCAACCTCAACAGAAATCTTTTTTTCTTCTTTGAAACCAAATGTATAGCGGTTTAAGATTTTCTTAGCGCTGTCGACACCTTTTGTTATCGAGCGTATGACGTCAAGCGTTGCTATCTCGTTCTATTTCATGTATACAACAGCGAAAACGTATCTATCGATATATTCGTGTACTGCTTCTCAAGGGAACTGCGATTTTTTTAGACAGACTTGACAATATAAGTTTCCTCAAAGTCGAAAACAAAACTGCATAATAGTAAAGGCGAACATAGTTGCTTGTTTACCACTTTCGTAGTAAAGAATCTTACCTGTTTAGATATGTAAATAAGCAATTTAAAATGCCCTCAGCAACATTAGAGAAACAATAAACATTGTTTACACCAATAAGGAAACATTAACGCCTAAATGTGTAAATATATAAATCTAGCTATAATTCTAAAACTATGACGTATCCCGCCGTCATTTCGTGACGTATCGTAAGCTTGTGCCGTTCACTCATAGTATGTTCAAAAGGAAAATTTGAATTCCCGCCAAAAATGTTACTAAGCATTCTTTAAATGCAATTAGAATACCAATGAAGATACTCGTAGACGTTATAAAGTTATTTTGTATGCATGTTGCGTATTCGTTACCTATTGTAGGGATCGGCTAGGTCATACTTACATTGTTAGATGGAGGTAACTTTGGTTGATCTAGGTTGAATCCCGTCGATCTTTTATTGAAGATCACGTAAAAAATAATGCTAAGTTGTTAAACTAAATATTGAGTAAAATTACATTTACCATTGCTACCATATACGTTTTAGGAAAACTAATTCTTTATTTTATATAATTAAGAATAACAAATAAGCTGATTAAAAATTATCAACAACAATGAATACTTGCTATGAAATAATTTTAGATTTTTACCCAAAAAAACTTAAGCAACACCACAAAATTAGGGGGAACCAAAAACTTTTTGTTAAAAAATCGGTTTAGAATTTGTTAAGATATTACGTTCTTAATCTGTACACGAAAATAGGTAATTGTAAAATTTTTTAACTAACTTACATAGACAAACATTTTTTACTCCAATGTGATAATAAGTCTTAAATTCAGTTACATTTTAGATACATTGCATTTGGAACTACTTCAAAATTTTTTCACCGCATATTAAAATTTCTGTTTAGCCAAAGGTTGACTGGGAGAGAATGCTATATAGTATTAAGTTCGCCTTTTGTACCAGACATTTTTTTGTAATGTGGTCAATAAAGCATAAATAAATAAATAAAAAATTGGAATGTTTTCTATGTCCCTAGTAGAATTTTGTCCTTGTTAGTTTAAGAACTATTAACAAATCAATGTCGTTATGAAATAACATACTGCAACAAACAGATCTCCTCTTCTTTGATTTTTGGTTGTTTTCGCAAGTAACCGGGCACTGCTCGGTCAGGGAATCTAATTCTAAACAAGGCTCTTGAATCTTTCCCTCTATCAAACTGTTCAGAGAATCTGATGCGCTACGCTGCTCGTCAGCGCATTTTGTCGCTGATGATGATGACAATCCATCTGTGTCTATGGACGGTGAAGGCATCTCGACGAACATTTCTTTGGTATTTCTGCGAAAAAAAAAAACTTACATAAGAATACATATTAAATAAACAAAACAATTTTCAATATTTTTTAACACATGGGAGTGAATACTATATAGCATTAAGTACGCCTTTTGTACCAAAATTTTTTTTGTAATGTGGTCAATAAGTAATAAACAAATAATTGAAAGAAGTGTAATTACTTATTATTAAATGTTTATAGAGTTTCCGATCTCGATTCGATATATCGAAAAACCGAACTTTTGGTTCGATATTTTTAACATGAATGTAACATAAGAAATGTTCGAAACGAAAATAAAGAGACTGAAAACAATGTATCTCAATTTATTCAGATCTGATCATTCGAGTCAAATCGAAAAAAGATGTCGTAAGAGGCGACTAAAGAAGCTTAATGATCGAGTAATGGGCAGCAGCGTCCCTCTTAAAACATCACCAAATTCTAACTGCAGTTGCCAACCCGCCCGCCAAGCGTGGCAACGCCCCCTGTAGGATGAGGCCTATAGTCAGCAGTTGTCAATTAACGGCTAATATGATGAACATGTAAGTATTAAGAAATGTACTTAAATATTTCTGCCAGTTGTCCAGTACTTAAAGCTTGTATGTACAAGCTACATAGTTTTGAATTAAATAATGCTCTTTAATATGTCCAATAGTACTTATTATTTGTTTTTTTTTTTTAATTGGATGAAAATGGAATGGTAAACCCGCCTGCCCTAACGGGATACGCTGGCGGGGCACCAGTGAAGGGTGATCGATGAGGATGAAAACAGGCCAGTTAGTCAATCATGATGAATTCATCTGGAATTAATCACGATAGTTTCCAGGGGGCACCGCGAGGAGGTCGACCTGGTTGGGTATATTGCTAGCAATGGGATTCTTAGTCTCCATTACTAACAATCCCTTTCCCTCCTTATTATTTGATTATTATTAGTAATACTAAATAACGCTTTAGCGCTCACATCGTACTAAGAGATAAGTGTCGTATGGGTTATAATAACAACTAGATGAAGCAAAAGCGGTAGTTTCTGTGATAATAATTAATGGCGGTAGGTGATCCTCGTTCGCCATGTGTGTATCAGAATAGCGGTCAACTTGAAGAAGTGGTGAGACGTTCAGAGGCCTTCTTCTTATTCGAATAGAGTCAACCACTGACTCTATTCGAATAAGAAGTTTTCCGTAGAAATTTATAAATGTGGAATGGAGTTTGTTTGTTGCCTTTTAACGTTATAACGGCTCAGCCAGTCATAATGGAATTTGCTCATTTTCATTTCCTATTGAAGAGCTGGGCTCTTGTCGGTGCCACTCACTACTACTTTTAGCGACTCTCTTCACCTCTTGATATAACATGACACCAACTTTTTCCTTGATCTGCCTGATGTAACTATACTTTGGTTTCTCCTTTTATTGTATCCATAAGTTCGTCGTGTCCATTTATTTTTTTGTATATGCATTCTTTTATCTCTTTTTACTGTGTATGTATGTTGCTATTTGCGTGCTGTAAGTAATGTAAATAAATTATATATCTATCTATCTATATCAAGTGTCCCGACATTTTTTCAACCTCAAGGTGAGTGAAAAATGAGAAAATCTTAGTTTCAATTAATATTTAATTTACCTGAAAACTTTTAAGGCACGTTGAATACTTTTTGAGATAGGGAAAAAGCATTGAACTCGCATGACTATCACCCTCATACGTACCTATACATATACATACATGTGTATATATATATATATATATTATTTCTAACACGCAGTCCTACGATTGATTTTGTTACTTTTTTATTATAAATTGGGTAGATCCACTGTTTCTGCACTCACTGCTTGATCTTACCTCACCTGATAGTAAGTGATGATAAGATCTAGGATACCCAGTAATTATTTGGTTATCATCGATTTTAAAAATCCCAGAATTTGGAAGAGCAAATTCTCCTTATTACCGTTTATATTAAAATTATGACGAAACTGTGGAATTTTTATAACGTAGAGATAACATACCCATAGTCCCAAAATAGCAGCTTCAGTGGAGATAAAATACGGCGACGAATTACGACATAATTGTAGACATATTAGATTAAAAATATTTAAATTTAGAATGCGGAATTGTGTCTATAGGCAGATTTTGCTTTGCAACACGCAGATTTTTGCATTCGTTTTAAAATTAATATGGGACTGACACACCAGAGTAGACTCTTGTTGAATAATAATTATCGTGAATCACATTGTATTATAATGATTATAGCTAGAATCTATATCGGAACTCTATTCAAAAGGAATAATCGAAATCGGTTCAGAATTGACGACATAATCATGACATAGCAACAGAAACAGGCAAAAACCAATGATTTTTTTTAATATGATGAAAATACACCTTCTTGGTATATAAATGTTAAATTACAATAATTATATTCCAGAGTCTAATTCGTGATTATTTTCGTAGTTTCTCAAAACGTAAACTGTTAAACTATAAATGTATTTGTATCTATAAAACTATAATTTCATGGAACATTTATTAACAAGTTTATTTTTCTTCTTAAAAGAAAATATTATTCTCATTTTAACACAAAATATATGTAAATAAAATATTTGAAATTAGAACGTGAAATTGTGTGTCTATAGATTTTGTGTCCTCCGTATATAAAAAAGTAGCTCCAAATGTTCCGATCTTCACAAATCCAACACGGAAATCAAGTCTATAAGTATGACACACAAAAACATCCAAAATAATTGAGGACATGTTCGTTTTAAATAGCTTAAAAAGATACCGAACAGCAATATTTTTGAATCTACCTTTCAATAAATTACTAAGCAAAGCCTAAGTATTATTCATTGAACGTAAACAATTATTCAGAAAACAAACGTGCTTGGCTTTAGTTTTATCTAGAGTTAATTTATACCTATGTTAATGCAATTTGTTAGATATTTCTAAATAAATAAATACATATCTGTTAATATGTAAGTATATTTTAAACTCGTTGACCTTGGCTTCGATCGGGAAGTCAAGGTCTATGATAGTATTTCACAGCATATAACTGGAAATAAATAAATAAGTGGAAAATAACATATATAATGTAAAACATCTTAAGTGAAAATTCAACCCATAACAGTGTAATTTATGGATTTTAAAAATGTCATTAAAAATATATGGACATATTTATATGAGTTTTTATGAAATGACGCAAAAATGTAATCGCCAGTTTACAGGTAGTTTTTAAAACGACACAAAAAATAAAGATCAAGAGAAATAACAAAGGTAAGTTTATCAAAATTATTTTGTTTAATTCCACGGTCATTAAATTAAACAAAATAATTCTAATCATTTAACCAGTGATATATATAGACTTTCGCAAAACAATACCTAGTTCAGTAAAATAGGAATTTGAATAACAAATTTTGCTCCACCAAAAGTGACAAAATATACTTTACCCGTAATTTTTACTTTCTTTCGTAATTCTTACTTTTCTTGGAATAGAAGATCTTCTAGTAATAAATTTATCTCAATTTTATACTAAAATCCTGATAAAGATTCAACATTTGTGTACTTTATATTAAAGTAGTTTAGGGGTAAAAAATTGTGACTTAAACTCTCAATTCCTTGTTGACCCCATTGGAGAGCAAATTTTCAAGAATTTTTCATATCACTCGTCAACTATAGACGAAAAATCGAGTGTACTTCTAGATCTTTATAGCTTTCGTGGTTTCAGTTTGACAAACAAGAAATTAGTCGATCAGGGTATATATAAAAATCTCGTATCACGATGTTTATGGTCGAACTTCTCCGAAACGACTCGACCGATTTTTATAATTTTTTTGTATTTCGTAGGTATAAGTAAAATATATTTCATAAGACTACTAGGTGATTAGGGTGTCCCTATCCAGAAAAAATAATTTCTATAGCAGACAACGATTGCCGGGTCAGCTAGTCTCTTTATAATATCAGTGTTGTAACCTGCCAACTTCTGGTGCCACACTCCAGTTGTTTATTAGATTGTGATGTAAAAAAATTTCGCGCGTAAGAAGAAAAACAAATCTAAATACTCAAAATCCAGCCGTGTGGTCTCTACACAAAATAGGCTACTTCTTCCTTTCTTGTAGGTGACGTAAGGGGCAACTAAGGGAACTTAATGGTAGAGTGATGGGAAACAGCGTCGCTCTTAAAACATCTCTAAAAGCTTAACTGCATTTGCCAACCCGCCTGCCAAGCGTGGCAACTATTGGCAAAACTCCCCTTATGGGCAAGACTTATGTTCAGCAGTAGACAGTTAACGGCTCAAATGATGATGATTATTCAGAAACAAAAGTCATTTCTTTAGGTCTCAAAAATTATGGATTCAAGCCTGACTACATATATATAAATAGATATCACAACTACATATAATTGGCGTGTCTATCTTTGGTCATTAACGCTTTTGTGACATCACATCAAGCTAGTTTGGTAGTTGCAGATCTAGTTTCACATCAATTGAGGTATTTATGTCATCTATCCGAATCTTCGCCTATGAATCTGACCGACACACCAAAATCTATGTGTGTCAATTTAACTTTCAAATTAACACATTTCTTACTTTCTTTTTAATGGTGATAAAAAAGCAATCTGAGAAATGACGCTCGAGCACAACGAGCATATTGATGCAAATAGTGATTATTCTCTTTATTGGGATGCTAAAATTTGTAACAATGGATGGGTGGGTGGATGGATGGGTGCATGTTTATTATTATTTCACCCAAAAACTGCTAAACAGATTTGAATAAATTTCTTTAATAACCTCCTTTCGATTAATCACTATTAAGTTCACTTACAAAAAGAATTTCAAAAAATCTTAATCGATTCACAGAAATTGAATCAAGTTAACTTTCCTTCCCATTTACCAGTGAGAGACTTTGTACAAAAGTCATTTGCTTGGGCACCTCTGTCCCATTCGTGTCTCTACCGTGAAGCAGTTATGTTTGCACGACTGTATTTCGGTTTGAAGGGTGAGGCTGTGAATTTACAGGACACAGAGGAATCACACCTGAGTCCTCAAGATTGCCAACGCATGGGGAGTATCATGGGCGAAACAGTATACTCTGTTATGTCCATGGTACTGCTCATGTCTATAATCGACGGTTACGACTTTCCATCAGGTGGGTCGTCAGTTTGTTTGCCATTCTAAGTTACATAAAAAATAACCTGCTAGATGAACTGTCACATTATTGTATATTGTATAAATAATTCAATATTGGCCGCAACAGAATATCGAACTCTGCTCTTTAGAGGGCAAAGCAATGAACTGAGCTGTGACCATTTTGTATTGCTATGACACACGCATGAAAGAAAAATTATTTTAATTCTTTTATGTATTTTTTTTTGTATGTCTATCTATAGCTGTTGTTAATTGTGTGCTGTAAGTAACGCAAATAAATTATATATTTATTTATAATACCGTTATGTCCATGGTACTGCTCATGTCTATAGGCGACGGTTACCACTTTCCATCAGGTGGACCGTCAGCTTGCTTGCCATTCTAAGTTTTATAAATATATATATATATATATATATATATATATATATATATATATATATATATATATATATATATATATATATATATATATATAATATTGTCATTAAAAGTATCATAAAAAGCAGATCATCACTTAGAAATCAATGAAGAGATTAATGATACTCGTTTGACATTATTATAAGATGCAGTAATGACTAGATTATGGATTTGCCTTGCTTTAATATTCAAACTTATGTCAAATCATTTACTATACATACTGCACGTCTCTGGAACTCGCTTCTTAACAATTTGAAGATGGCACAATTAATGAAATCGTTTAAAGCAGGTTTATTAAAAAATATTCTGAAATTCCTGGTTCATTGAGCGAATTGTGAATATATGTATATATTAATTTATATTTATACTTGTAGGTTTATTATTTTTATTTATGCATTATTATTATTTTAATATGTAGGGGTGTACAATTATTTATTACTGTAATATGTATGAAACATTTCGCTGTTAAAATTAAACATAATATTCCAAACGAACATTATGTTTAATTTTAACTAAGTATATTTAAATTTAATCATTAACTATACGGTTTTTACCCTCAAACATATTATAGTTTTCTTTTAGCTTTTCAAAGGTTGACTGTAAGAAATAAAAGAGAGAGAGAGAAGAGATGGGTTAAGTTTATCTTTGCATTTATTTTTTATACCATTGAGCCGGCAAACGAGCATACAGCCCACCTCACCGGTCACCGTAGCCTATTAATGTATCTGAAAAACTCTTTACCCCTTTTTTGAAGAACCCCATACTGTAGTCTTTTGGAGAAACCTAGACAGGGAGCTTATTCCATAACCTGAGCGTTCGTGGAAGGAAACATCTCTGAAACCACGCTGTACACGACCATCCAGGCTCTAAGATTATGACATATTAAATATTTTTTAATGTATCCAATATAAATTATGTACAATAAATATTTTACAGTACAATACAATTATAAATCTGAACAAGACAAAGTGGTAGGCCATCGTTTATGTTATATATGTATATCATAAATATATGTCAAGGCCTATTCGATGCGTGTCTATTAATTTGTGAATAGTTAAGCGACAATCGTTATTGTTCTATCTGAATTAGGTCGCAAGTGTATTTCCTGTCTGTGACGCCTGATGGTACACTACCCCGAATCACAAGGTTTTAGACACTAGACTCTCTTCATCAGATAAATATACAATAAAAATATGCTACAAGATATACTGCACAGTGCCACCTAGTCCCAAACTAAGCGGCGGTTTCACAGGACAACTGGTACACATACTTAAATATACTTTTTGTAAATACATACATATATATGAAATACTCATAAAGACAAATGTTTCTATATCAATGTACGGGGATCGAACTCGCAATTATCAGAAGGTGAGGCAGTGTGGTTAACAATTGCACCATCAAAGTCTTTTTCGATAGATTGCAAACAGTCTGAGGAAGATGTAACGAATCTGAACGAGTCCCTGGTCTCTTAGAGAAGTGACAGATGAATCCATCGATAGAATCGTTATCGCAAACGAGACTGAAATAGAATGAGATAACGACATTCGATATCTTGTTCTTTCTCGCAGATTGGCTAACGACAACGATTCGCAATTTTATCGTTAGTTATAAGAAAGTTTCGGAAGTACACATTATATTTTACTGTAATAACTATCGGTTTAATTTACGTGTAATTAGATTGAGTAATCTCAACTAGTTTCGGGACCAGTCAGACTCACGCTCGCGTCACAGCCTCTCATGATTAAAGGTCCCGAATTGGTCCTGTAACTATCAATTAGTTTTTCTATCAAATTACACGTAAGTTAAACCGGTAGTTATTACATTAAAAAGATAACGATTCCATCGATGGATTTATTTGCTTTTTTTATATAGTTAGTTATTTGCTTTAGTTTATGTATTTAGTTTACGACAGTTATAAATTACTCGATATGTTTATATTATTATATATATACATTTTAAAATATATTTTAAAACTTATATTCATTATGGTGCTGCATATTTACTGTCACTCTTCATTTTCAGAATATTTTGTATCACCAAAAATCAATTAGAAAGCGAACAACAATAACCGTTGACGTCACTTTTCTAGAGCGATTTATTGATTCAAAATACAACCATAAATCAATTCTATCGATTGCCACTTGGTTGCGAACGATCCTGTTTATAAGAGAAAAGTGCATTTAACCTATCTAACAATAAGAAGCAATCGTATACAAAACCTGTAATTTAATTATTATTATAAACGTAAAAGTTAGTATGTTTATTAGTTTGTTACTTTTTAGCGCGACTAACTTAACAACTTAACCAATCACTGAGAAATGTATACGCGTATATACATATATAGGTACACTATATAGCTACGTTATATATATATATATATATATATATATATATATATATATATATATATATATATATATATATATATATATATATTGTAAATGTTCAGATGTTTGTTATTCAATTGCACATAAACGGCTAACAGATGAATGAAATTTGATGCAATTTTGATGCAATTGGAATTAACATAGTGGCAATTATTGGCAAAACCCCTGAATTTATGGGAGAGGCCTATTATCAGCAATGAACGGATAACGGTTGATATAACCATAACGAATTTATATACTAATTTACAAAGTCAAGATCGCAGAAAAGAGTAGTTAATAAGTCTGCCAAAATCAGTATGTACATTAAAACGAGGAAAACAAACGAAATGTGTGAGAAGCCTTTGGTTTCGAAGTTATAATTACGTATTAAATACTGTTATCAAAAAGTTTAGTGTGCTAAAAGAATTAAAGCTGATAACGGTGGTGTGGAGCGTTGTCTAACCGTGTTAAACTCGTTGAATTTGTTTCAATGATCCGATAAAGTCATAATTATGATGATATAATAGTTACTATGTAATAAAGGCCGCGTGTTTTTATTATTAATTTTTTTTTACAAATTATTATTTTGCTAAATATGTCTGGTACCACTACAACTCCTGGCAAAACTCCCCTAATGGGGAAGGCCTATATTCAGCTATGGACAATTAACGGCTATTATAATGATAATGACGATGATTATCGAAATGTTAGTCATTGTGCCTACAATATTTCCAAAAATTGAGTACAATAGTAAGATTATTACAAAATAAAAAATATATACATATATTTTACTGCATAGTTTAAATGGGCACAAAAATGTTGCATGGTTATTTTTTTGCAATCACATCACTAGATATATAAGTATAAAAATACATAGACAGATAGATACATTTTTTTTTTCGGTCGGAGGTAGTTGTGCGAACATTGTTAAAAACTGCTCCAATTCGATTTTCGTTTTATAAATAGATAAAGTGGTAAAACAGTATATTTTAATGAAAATATATAAACTATAATCACTTCACTTCACTTGCCGGAATAAATTACACTTTTACCTCTACTACAACAACAAAAATGTCTGTGGAAAAGTTGAGCTTACAGGAGACTAGAGACGAATTTGTCAAAAGGATGCAGGACTTTGAAGGACGACTGCAGAAGGCAACTCTTACAAGCCCAGGAGTAGCGGATATTGCTTCAGAGTTTGCCATTTTTAAACATATGACGCTGAAGAGTCTACAATCATTGCAACACCAAGTTGACCTGCTGGCAAAAGAAGTTGATTTACAGGAAATGCGTGGTCGAAGGAAAATATTGCTTCTTCATGGTGTCTCAGAGAGTGATCGGGAAGATGTTAACTCAGTGGTATGCAGTGTCCTTGTTGATCAATTGAAATTGGTGGAGTTTTCAACAGAACACATTAGCCGGTGTCACAGAATGGGACGCATAACAACCAATGAAAAGGCTCGTCCACTTTTGGTTAAGTTTCGAGATATCAACACTCGCGACATGATCTGGTCCAATAAAACAAAGCTGAAGGGCACAAATGTTTCCATTTCCGAGTTCTTGACAAAAACTCGGCACGATACATTTATGGCGGCCAGACAACGGTTTGGTGTCAGAAAATGTTGGACACGTGATGGGTTTGTTCACGTCCTTGGATCCGATGGGGTACGGCATCGTATTAGTAGCATGACTGAACTGGGTAGAATTGCAGTACCAGGATCCCAACAGCCAGCTCCAGTTGCGGCTAAGGTGGACGTCGGCGTCAGCAGAACGAAACGGGCTCAAACCAGCAAGAAATAAGTCTTGTTAGCTTTGAATATTATATTCTACGGTTTGGTGAGTGAGTTTGGTCTGTATTAACATTAATATCGTTTTACCCACTTTTATTTATATCAAATAATATCATTTTTAATATCATTTCATTCGCTTTTTCTATTTATAATTCAACTGTAATGCGACCTACTTATTAAATGTAAAATAGACGGTAGATTGATTGGTTAGTAGTAGAAGTTTAATTTATCCCACTCAGGGAAAGGCAAAGGTATTGAGCCATACAGCCTAATCTCCAGTAATGTAATTATTAATTAATTTATTAAAGCAAGTAATTATTCTAATTTACATAGATCAATGTCAATATGTTGGTTGACAGTTATCAGATAACATCTGAATATTGGCTACATATCAAAGTTGTATATAATCTATGTTTCTATATTTTAAAAAAAGATATGAACTGTTACCATCCTTAATCTATGCTCATTACAGCTCCGGCACAGATAATACTAGTAATGAATGGATGTAAAGGGGAATACTCAGTACTCAGTACTATTTTTAATGTATACAATTTTTAACATGAATATTCTTATTATTATTATATTTTTTGTATTCAAGTTTATATTTAGATTTTCTTTTTATTGTACTTTTTTTGTATTCAAGTTTATATTTAGATTTTCTTTTTATTGTACTTTATGATTAAGTCAAACTTATAAATTTTCTGTGCCGGGATAGCTGTAGCTGTTTTCATTCATTTTTCAGTTACATTTACCCTAACCATTTACCATATTATTGTAACCTTTTAATATATCTTTACTACCTGTATGTATTGACAGGCTCACTCACCAAACCTGTGGACGAGTTATTAAGCGAAGTAGTATTATTTTTTTTATTTTCTTTCCTGATAACCGGCAGGTGGAGTATGCATGTACTCGTATTATTTTTAGTAATTTAAATTATATAATATATATTTATATATATTATTATTATTCTAATATATTATTATAACTAGTGTATTTAATTTTTTATATTATATTCTATTTTTTAAGATATTCATTTAGTATTTATTAGATTATTTATTTATTTTTCTCAAAGTATGCACAATTTATTTTGCAATAGTGACGAGGACATTGATAATGATGATTACTTCTCTGTTTCTACACATAATTCCTCTTGCAGCACTAACAACAGTTTCAATAGTTTGCCATGCCTATCGGATTCTTTGGCTGCACTGTTTTCAGATGTACCTAATAATCTCAACATACATAATTCACATTAATGCCCAAAGTATTCCAGCACACCATTCTGACTTGATTGTTTCTCTTAATCAACATAACATACACGCTATATTAGTTTCTGAATCTTGGTTAAAACCATGTCTCTCCTCTGCTTCCTACTCCCTCCCAGGCTTCCAACTTATACGAAATGATCGAACTGGCGGTGGCGGTGGCGGTGTAGCTATTTATCTCCGTTCTCATTTCACTTACTCTGTAGTTAGTATATCTGCACAGCCGCCCCCAAAGAATGCTGGTGAGCACCTTTTTATTGAAATCTCTCTCTCCCATTCAAAATTACTTCTCGGAGTCTACTACAGTCCTTCCATGCGCAATGACTATTTTTCATCTTTTGAAAAAACTCTCGAATCCCTCACTCCTTCCTACAATCACACAATCATAATGGGCGATTTTAATACTTGTCTCCTAAAAAAAAAATTCACGTGCTTCCACTCTCGTATCTACTGTAAAAGCTTGTAATTTAAATATACTCCCGCTATCTGCGACACATCATTTTCCCGACTCTACTCCTTCACTCCTCGACCTAATTATGATCTCATCCCTGCAAAATGTCGCGAGGCATGGTCAGTGCGCAGCGGACTGTTTTTCTTATCATGATCTGATTTATTTGTCTTACAAAATACGTTCCCCAAAAGCAAAATCTAAAACTGTTTTCCAGCGTAGTTTTGGCAGTATAAATGTGGAGAGACTACGTAGTGACGCAAAAACAATTGACTGGACACCTGTTAAAGACGCAATATCCGTAGACGAGCAGGTCGTACAGTTTAACAAATTGATTGTTCAACTGTACGATGTGCATGCTCCCATTAAGGCCATAAAAATTAAACACACTCCGGCTCCATGGATTAATAATGAAATTAGGATATTGATGCACAGAAGGGATGTAGCAAAGACTCGTTACAAGCATCGTCCCAGTGACGATAATAAGACCAAATATTTAAAACATCGAAATCGCTGCAATAGAGTGTGTAGGGATGCACAACGACGCTACATTCATGATTCTATTGCAGAACGAGATTCCGGCAAAGTCTGGAAGTTTCTTAGGACATTAGGAGTCGGTAATACCCAACCGAATAACATATATACTAACTTAGATGTTAATTCTCTCAACTTGCATTTTTCAACATCTCCTATAGTTGATGTTAATAATAAGACCAAAACATTATCAGATCTTTCCTTGCTTCCGACTCCTAATTATTCGCCGTTTGTTTTTAATCGACTTACAGAGTGTGACGTTAAGAGCAGCATTAATTCAATAACATCGAATGCAGTAGGTACCGATTGTATCAGTCGTAATATGATTATTCTAATTCTCGATGAGATATTGTCTGTAATTTGTTTAATCCTGAACCGCTCTATTGAAACTTGTGTTTTTCCAAAGTGTTGGAAAGAAGCACAAATTATCCCCATTCCAAAAAAAACAATCCTATCTCTTTCTCTGACTTGCGACCTATCTCAATCCTACCATTCCTCTCTAAAGTGCTTGAACGCCTTATTCATACTCAACTGACAAAATTCCTTACCCAAAACAACCTATTGAATCCTTTTCAGTCTGGCTACCGACCCGGTCATAGCACAGTAACAGCACTAGTTAAGATCACTGATGATATTCGATCGGGAATGGAACACGGCCAACTGACCATCCTAACACTCCTAGATTTTAGTAATGCATTCAATACCGTCGACTTTGACATCTTACTAGAACTGTTACACTCTCTTAACGTATCTCCGCCTGTAGTTGAGTGGTTTCGTGATTACTTGTGTGGACGTCGGCAGCGAGTTCGAATTAACGATGTGTCTTCATCTTGGTGCGATACGTTTGCTGGCGTTCCGCAAGGTGGCGTCTTGTCTCCTCTCCTTTTTTCAGTTCTTATAAATACTATATCAAACCAACTAACTTCTCTCTACCATCTATATGCAGACGATTTACAAATGTATACTCAGGCTCCTTTAGACGACTTGAACGATGCTATTGCATTAACTAACCAAGATCTCAAACATATAAGTAAATGGAGTAAAGCTTTTGGCCTTAAAGTAAATCCTTCCAAATCTCAGGTAGTACTGGTAGGTAGTCCTAAGCTAATCCAAAAGGTAGATTATTCAACGCTTATACCTATAACTTTTGGTGATGTGGTTATCCCCTTCAGTGTATCGGTAAAGGATCTAGGTGTAATTATTGATAGTTCTCTTACTTGGCGGCCACAAATAGAATTTGTCAGCAGAAAAGTTTTCGGATCAGTATGCTCACTTCGTAGACTACGTAATTTCCTTCCTACTGCTACCAAAATTACGCTATCCCAATCTCTTTTACTTCCAATTCTTGATTATGCCGATACTTGTTATCTGGATCTTACGGAGGACCAGCTTAACAAACTTGAGCGCCTTCAAAATGTTTGTATCAGGTTTATTTTCGGTCTTAGAAAATATGATCATATTTCCCAGTTTCGCGCTAAGCTCAAGTGGCTTCCTATTCGTTTTCGCCGGAATACTCACATTCTTTCACTGCTCCACAATGTCCTTTTCAACTCTTCTTCCCCTCACTATCTGAAGGAGCGGTTTGAATTCCTGCATACCGTCAATTCTTTTAATCTTAGGTCTTCTGAGGGCCTCCAGCTGAAGACTCCGGTACATTTCTCAAACTTTTATGACAAATCGTTTACGGTGCAAGCTGTACGGCTTTGGAATGCTCTACCAGTTTCCATACGAAGTATAAAATGTCTGGTTACTTTTAAAACAAAAGTTAAGGACTTTTATTTAAGCAAGTTGTCATCTCCTTAATATGTTTATATGTCTGCTTAGCATACTTATTTCTTGCATATTTTTCGTGAACGTTTATATGCATGTATGTATATGTGTGTATGTATGTGTATGTGTATATGTATGTATATGTGTGTGTATGTATATGTATGTGTATATGTATATATATGTATATATAATAATAAGTAAGGATAATTTTTATATTATTATATGTATTACATATCCCATATCTAGAACTAACAAATTTTTTTATCATGCCTCCTACCAAATTGTTTATAATTACTCCTCTCCATCCAAAGGTTGCCTGGAAGAGATCGCTCTTAGCGATAAGGTCGCCCATTGTTTTCTCATTGTGATTATTTCTTGTGATTGTTTGTATTTATAATAAGTTTACTGTTGTAATCTTTTGGAGGAAACAATAAAGAGTATCTATCTTTTTTACTGAGAACAATAAAAACAATAATTGCAGTTAAACTAAACAACAATAAAATGAAGAAAAAACAATACATATGTACATAACATACACACATAAATAAGAATAAAAAAAGCAATAAAAATATATATAAATTATTGTATAAACTATGAAAATAAGAATTTACAATCCAAAAATATTTTTAAAAAGGTAAATTTCAATAAATTGCATAGGTTGCAACATGAGTTTTTAAAGAAAAACAATGCAATCAGAAAATCATCCCGTCTTTAACAATTTAACAATTATTTTGCAATTTTCACACGTCATTTCTGCAGTCAATGCCCATCAAAGTGACATTGATGAGCCTGTGTTCGACTTTGCAAAATAAATGTTTAATTTGAAATTAATTTTGTGGTAAAAAAGACAATTAAATCATCTAATATAAATAATAAAAACGTGTTAAATTCGAATTGATTTTAGATCAGCTTTTTTGCATAGCTACCTTACAAATATTTTTTTTAATAGGGTGAAAATGAAATGATAGTCTTGCCTGCGCTATCGATATACATTGGCGAAATATCAGAGAATGAGTAAGAAATTAGGTCAGTTGTCCCATCGTGACGTATTCTCTAGGAAATAACTACCAAACCCTGGATCCAATGGGGAACCGTAGAGATAACCTGACAGAGTCTATTGCTAGCAATGGGGCCATTAGTCCCCATTACTCACGATGTCACTTCTACTTCGGATACATCAATTGAGTCCATACTCCATACATTTTAGAGGAACATTTCCTTCCGTCGGAGTCGCAGTACTTTCTTAGGGCAAAACAATTGACACACCAAGTGCTGCTTCTACACCACAGACGTAGTGTAACACACTACGTACCTACTAATGGACTAGAAATGCAATCATAAAAATGAAACAAGAAAATGGTTATAAATATCGTCTTGTAAATGCGTGCAAAAATAACATAAATTTGAAGGTGTTTTGAACTTTATTTAGATTAAATTAGCTAATGCTTTTGAACAAATTCTTGTACAAAATATTTCCGATTGTTCTACAATATGACATTTAAAGAGAT